CTGCTACTACTACAGCTACTGCTACTGCTACTGCTACTCCTACTACTACTACTACTGCTACTACTACTACTACTGCTGCTGCTGCTGCTACTACTACTACTACTACTTCTTCTTCTTCTTTTGAACCCAGAATGTGATCCTATTGCTGCTACTACTTCTGCTACACAGCGGTACTACACCGCAGCACTATTACTACTGCTACTACCACCACCCTTGCTACGGCCACTACCACTACGATCACCACCACGACTACGTCCACTACAGCGACAACGGCTGCTACTGCTGCTACTTACTGGGCTACCAACGACTGCCGCTAAGCAAGTACTGCAAAGACTGCAAATGCCAGTGCCACTGCTACTGCTCGATTCCAGGGCGACCACTATAACGACCAGTACCATCCAGCATGCGAGGGCTAAGGCTTCGGCCGAAACACACGCTGTGCAAAGACTGAGTGACTGGGTGCAGGGTCGCAGAATGGTCCTCTAGCTAGAACGGGCGGCTTGGGATGCCAAATGCTGGGTTATAGAACCCTAAAAATCTTGAACCTGTAGAAAACCCAGTCTTAATGCCCAGTTGAGGTATGTTTACAGCAATGGCTGTGTGAATTCATGCGCTACTAAAACACCAAAGCGAGACTTGGGTGAGCGTCCTGCGTTGCCGGACACGGTGAAGCTGCTCGACCAGTCCTGTGCAATGTGCAATATCGCAACGGCTATTTCTCTGAATTCTTGTTCGTACAGTGCTCTTGAAGCTGTGTAAGGCTTCCTTGTAGGGCAGCCGCTCATGGTGTCTAACAACTCATGTGCTTTACGTGCGTAACAGGCTCGCAAGTCATTCATTAAGAATTTTGCTCGTATGTCCGTACGTCAAAAAGCCTAAGGTACCAAATCCAAGAATCACACGGCGGTCTGCGGCTGTTGTGTTGAATAGTTTTTCCTGGAGCGTTGGTACGCTGAGTCTGAATGCCATACACATGCAGCCGCAAGCCCCACAAACACTACTAGCTAAAACCATCGACCTACATCTTAGACTCTACTCTAACGCGCGTGCCTTAAGCCCCCCCTAAACCCTAAACCCCTCAACCCTTGACCCTACCTGAAACCCATCAAATCCTGGCTGCAAGAAACGGAACGGCCCTGGGCCTCGCAGAAACCCCTTATGACCCCAGTAAGGTTTAGGGTTCAAGGTAATATCGTGTTGAACTAATGAGAGTCATGATCACAATCACAACCTTCAAAAGCAACAGGCAAAAAAAACAGGAATGTTGCATGCATGCAAGAATCCTCAAAGGCCCTAACTTTAAGGGCACTGCAGCCTGCCGGCATCGCGGACCCTAAACTTTGCGCCTGAAGCGCGGCTGGAAGCTCTTGAGCTCGAGTCCGGAAGTCCACAGAGTGCTGCCTGAGCGAAGAGGGCTTAGGCTTAGGGTTGAAATGTGGTCAGAAGGTCTGCAATCCTGTCGTCCATCAACTCCAGCTGCATGGTGGGTGCGGCCGGTCCGGGTTGCAGCCGCCGCCCCACCCACTGTCGCCAAACGTCGCAGTGGTAGGGGGGGATGGGGGGGGGGGGGTGGGGGTTGCCACTCCCGTAAGGTGCAATGGTGCAAGTGCAGCTCGAACAGAACACAAGGCTCCTGTAAGGGTTCCGATTAGGCTTCCCATCTGGGTCTTGACTTAAGGGTTTCAGGACTCAGATGGATTTAGAAACTCAGCTTCGACTCTACATTCGCTCAAGGCAGGGCTTCACGACAACTGGTCCAATGATACGCGACAACTAAGAGACACGTACCCTGCAAGCCCAAAACAATCAGTGACGGGCATCATGGCAGAATGCCTTGTTTAAGAGAGTTTAGGGTCGAGGCATATTGGTTTAGGCTTGTAGGGCCTAGGGTGCGGGCTCCGTATCTATTACCTATATGCAGGGCTACTCTACTTTGGCTAAATAGGGCAAGCAACCTGACGCAGAGGTAAGTGGGGTTCGATGCTCTGCTGCTGCTGCTGCTTTAAAGCTCTGGGGCGTGGGATCCAGCAGTAATGCTGAAAGAGAGGTTGCACTGAATTGTATCACATAGGCTACACGATGAGCCTCTCAGTATCTGCCTCCCACTCTCAGAGACCACGCCCCCATTGTGGCACGGCCTCCACTGCCTGCACTGCCCTGCGCAGCTCGTCCCAAGTCAGTTCCACTCTAGATTGGCTTTCCAAGCCTCAGCCCCATAGCCTTTCTCAAATCGCGCCAGGCGGCAGCAACTCCAGAATTGCCGTTGTCCTGCATGCAATCCACGCTGTCAACAGATGGGAATCGAGATTCTGGGTACGGGGCACCCCTTAAAGCTGCCCTACGCTCATGTCCAGTGTGATGCTTCACCGTATTATCCTAAACACTATCTGCAGACATCCGGCTTAATCATCTCTTACACGATCCCCGGGCGGTGCAATGATGTTGACTCTTTGCTGGATCTCGCAGATATGTCAAGTCAGCAAACACACCCCTCGAATCTTCGCTCAGGCACGAGCAGTGTGCTGAACTGAAGATGCCAAAATCCAAACGATACGCTGTACAGAGCTTGCGAATATATGCAGAAACAGGACGCGTCGTCTGCACGAAGAAAGGGCCTTAGTCACAGGAACTCGGCTCGGCCATCGAATTAATACGGTCCGGCTGCCTGCAACACATTACCGTCCGTGCCCACACTGGCGCAGGATCCCTTCACATACTTCCCGAAGACGGCATCGTAGTTCGCGTTGGAGCGGGCCTTTAGCGCCTTCTGCGCAGCCTCCTTGTTCTCCGCCTTGCCCAACCAAGTGACGATGCATGTCTTCTGCAATGCCTTGCCATAGGAGAAGGAGAGATGCCATGGAAGGTTCGGGTAGAGCTTGTGCATGGTGCTGAGGTTGATGGTAGCCTCCTCCTCGTTGTCCTCGTTCAGGGCCGTCTCACCAGAGAGGAAGAAAATGCCTGGCATGGCCACTGGCACCGTGCGCAAAAGCGTCTGCACTGTGAGTTTGGCAATGGTCTCAGCACTTGCCTTGGGACCTTTGAGACCGTTCTTGACCATGTTGGGCTTCAGCACGGCACCCTCCAAGTAGATGTGGTGGTCGGCCAGGGCCTTGAACTGGGCCGACAACACCTTCTCCGTCATCTGGCAACAGTAGTCAATGTCGTGGTCTCCATTGGGCACGATCTCGGGCTCCACGATGGGCACCAAGCGCTCACTCTGGCAGATGGACGCATAGCGTGCCAGCGTGTGGACGGTGTCCATGATGGCCAGGTCGCTCGGCAGTCCTTTCTTGGGATCAAGCTGGAGCACATTGCGCCATTTGGCGAAGCGGGCTCCTTTCTTGTAAGCCTGCGCGCAACGCTCCTGAAGGTCATCCAGGCCTTTGGTGGAAACCTCTGGATGTCCCAAGGGCCCAACCTCCGTGCCCCACATGCCCTTCTTGTCGTAGGCCTTGTCCACCTTGATGCCGGGGATCATGCCGTTGCCTGTGATGATGTCCACCATCGGCTTACCACTGGCATCGTCCTGGAAAAGGGTCTCCCAGTGGAGGATGACGCCACTGATGTACTCGCTGAGTCCTGGGGTGGAGAAGCACATGGAGCGGTAGGCGGCCCTGTTCTCAATGACATCCGGGATCTTTGCCGCCTCTGCATGGCCGGCACGGAGCCATGGTCCGGCTGACTCGTCGGCGGCCAAGAACCCCTTGCCCGGAGCGCACAGCTTCGTGGCCGTCTCCTTGAGCTCGGCCAGGACATCCGCGGGCAAGTTGGCCATGG